ATCTATTGATAATTCTATCATACATGTCCAAATCAACCTCAGCCTAACCCCAATCTATTGATAATTCTATAACCAATGTCCAAATCAACCTCAGCCTAACCCCAATCTATTGATAATTCTATCATCAATGTCCAAATCAACCTCAGCCTAACCCCAATCTATTGATAATTCTATCATCAATGTCGAAATCTCCCTATCCAGTTCAGATTCTTCTATTCTAAGATTCTGTCATGGATACTTAGAACAACTTTTCCGGTTGCAGAGACCAGGCACTCAGATCTATTTTAGGTAGAAGTTTGGGTCTAGTGTGAGGTCCAAACTACACAAAGCAGGTATTTAAAGAGCCTGGCAACGAGGCTGATTTGTATGTTAGCATGTCCAGACAGATGTAATGGGACATCATAAATCTGATCCTGAGTCAGCGACAGGGGGATAAGTGGGAAACCTGAGAAGGCGCAAACACAGAGCAGGTGCTGGCATCTCAGGCATTAAGGTCAGCATGAGTGTGTGACGAGCAACAGCAGGGAGCTGGGGCGCACACACACACACACACACACACACACACACAGGCCACGTATTCATATCTTTGTGGGGACTCTCCATTCATTTCTATGGGCAAAACCATAACATTCACCCCTACCCAGTCCCAACCTTATGCAAAGGTAACCAAACAAAATAGTCTTTTGCCATTTTTAGTATTTTTGATTGCAGTCATAGATTTTTATACGTTTTTATACATTCCCCACAATGTAATATATATGTGCAGCACCCCCCCCACACCATATTATACAGTATAGCATGCCTACCGCTTCTTGTTAGTAAGGGATTTAAGCTTCTTTGTCACAGTATAAACAGAATGAGAGGAAATAAGAGCGGCAGGCGGCCTGAGCAGTTCCTGTGGCCCCGGGATAAGATCAGGATGCGGAGAGCGGCCAGCGTGCTGTTAGCGGAGCGTAAGGGGCAGAGGATAATAAGAGGAGGCCTCTTATCAGACGCGTGCGGCTCCACAATGCCAGTCTGACTCCCGTCTCTGTCCCCCACCACCGCTGGCCTGCCGGGTTGTTTTCTTAGCTCCAGCCAGTTCCCTCCCGCTTCCCATTTGTGCTTTGTGTTCTCGAATTAGTCCTCACCGGAAGCGAGCCACCAGGACTGACCTTGTCTGCTCTCCTAAGATTCTGGCCACTCAGATCATGTTCCCCCATGTTGCCTCTGCTCAGATATTTACAGCGTCTGACCCAGGCTTCTATGGGTGTCTCTTAAGACCAGCTGAACTCTGAACCCTCTCACTGTGCGAGGTGTCCAGGGCCCGGAGGGCCAGCCGATGCACTTTACCGCCCCGCGGCCATTTTCCTGCCGTCTTCTCTGGCTCCTGCAGTACTGATTGCAGAGCTTTTCAAGTAAACACCTAAATCTCCCCCACTGACCGCTACATAATGGCTGAGTGTACATTCCCACTTGCTGAATGATTGTTTGCATTTTTCCCTGTCAGATTTCATTGGCTAAGTGTCTGCCTATCCCGTAATTTAGTCTGGGTAACCCTGTCACTATAAGTGATGTGTCTGCCACATCAGCTAATTTGATAATGTCTTTAATGAGGACATCTATCACTCTTGTAGCTTAGAGACGGAAACAGCTCCAATGCAGGACCTGGTAGTACTGCAGTAATTGCGCCGACCCAATCAGAACCTGTTAGAATGTTTCCTCCCGTCAGAAGCCGATCATTTCCATAAATCACGGCTTATCTCGCTCCAGTCTAAGTACTAGTATTCTGAGTCAAGCTTTTCGTAAGTCTAAAAGCATGACATCATCAGGCTCACGCTGTCAGCAGCCACTGACTGAAACCCAAAGAAATTGAGCAAAAACACCACACCCCTAACCCATTATCTACAATTCGTCAGGCTAGGAATTAACATATCCAGTCACGTCTCCTGATAACACTGGGTCTATTCCCCTTTTTGTGGCCTGACTCATTACATACTTTTAATTTCTGCACCCTAGCTGCACTTCCAATTACCCCTCATTGTTGTAATACAGAAAAAGCATTAATTATATTTTTCTCTGCAGTTAAATTGATTTCCATCTTCCCCCATGCGCTTCCACATGAGCTCCGAGGCTTCTGAGAGCTGCAGCGACATCGGGCCCTTCTCTGCCGCTATACCGCGCACAGAGCCGTACTTCCTGTCATCCTAAGCCTCTCTCTCTCTACCTCTTCACATAAATACCATGTTTTGCAGGGTAACCTCCCACCTTCTACTCACTGTGCATCTACGCCCTCTTTTCAGCTCAGATTTCTCCGTAAATGAGCGAAACGTACCTCAGACACAGTAGTTACGACGTACAACATAGTCTCTCACCACGGTGCCTCTAACTAGGCCAGGCTATAAGAGGGAAAATGGGTTGGTAAGTATATCTCTCCAGGATTGGGACTTTACAAGTTGTGTTAAACATCTCACCATCAAAATTTCATCTAACATGCTCTCAGTTTACGCTGGCTGCATGTAAATCATTCATTAACACCTCATAGATGCTCCAGTTGGATGATGTACACACGCGTGTGATGAAAGCGCTCAGGGTTTAACTCCTCCCACATGCATCTGACACCCGGCTCCCTGAACGGGTCACAAACCACGTCTGTCTCCGTCTCCACGAGTTTTCAATCAAAACAACTGACATCACGGTGAGATGAAAGGCAAACTGAGAGGAGGAAGAGCTCACGGCCACAGAAGGAGAACAGGTGGAAGTAAGATGCCACATCGGCTCTCCGTTTGCACCATCAGCATGGAGGATCTGCATGCATTAAAGGGGACACCAGAGTCTGCCAAGCACCGACTTAATTAGCTCTCCGATCTGGTACAGACTAAGGTGCTTCATATCCGACTGACGAACTCCTTCTGCTCCCGGAGACACTCGGAGATAAGGCCCAGCAACACATTTCCATCCACCTGGTCTTATCATGTCCAGCAGAGGTGGATAGTTCAGCTGAGTGTAAAGAGTCACAGTCACAGTATTACTCAACTT